TCTCCTTCTGTGCTCCCCAGCCACTGCTCCTGCTCTGGGGAGCAGCATTACACAGGAGGCATCTGTCTGCTGTTACGGGGACAAAGGACTCGGGGAAAGTCCTGCCTTCCCTACCTACTGCGACTGCAGTGGGGTGGTGCTTGGGGCTCGACCTGCGCTATGCAGAGCTCGTGGCTTGCTGGGTTTGCATCCCTGTGTCCCAGTAGGGGCAGTGACCCTCCACAGCTGTTTCTCTTGGAACAGGTTTCCTAGAGCTTGAAACCCCCCTTCCTCCCCACCAGGTTCACGCACTCAGCAGTAGCTCATGCAGGCAGCAGCATCTCCGTGGGCTCATTACTCAGACCAGTGCTATTTCATAAAGCCAGAATAAACTTTGAGGCTGAAGTACATGTTACAGTTCTGGAAACCTGGTGCCTAAACCACGAACCTGCTGGTTTTGCTGTTCAGAGCTGCAATTGTGCCATGTGTATGTCACTCTGTGGCTTCAGCTTTCAAGTCAGGAAGTGCCTTGTGGAAGCAGTTCCAGTCCTTAGAAGGGCAGGGGCCTTAGCCCTAAGCTGGGGTCGAGCACAAGGCTGAGAGGAATTGACCCCGAGTCTCAGGTGTCCCTGGAGCTACTCAACAGGCAGTTTGCCCAGAGATGGGGGTTTTTGTTTCTTCTTCTGCAGCAGGTCAGTTCCCTGTACAGTCCTGCCGTAGCTGATCAGTGCACATCCCACAAGCGCTCCCAGAGCTGCCAACTGCTTGTGAGCAGCCAGGCACAGACAGACCCCTCTCTACACTGCAGTACTCATCTTCCACCCTGTTATTCATGGGGTAGCATTAAGCATCCAACTGCAACTAATGTCCTCTGGGAGGCCACTCCGTATCCGGGCTGATTCTGCAGACTAAGTGCAACATCTCAAATCCTGACATTTTACAAAGTGCTGAAGGTGAGCCAACAGGCTGGCTAATTCCCTCCTGCCGAGTCCTATTTTAGGGTCTACCTAGTTTTCTGTAGCTTTTTCAGTTGCCTGTGCTGTCCCACAGCGGTTACACAGTGCAGCGCAGGACCGACAGGCATTCAGAAGCCTTTAACTTAGCAGCCTTAGGCAACGTGTGCGCATACTGTGCCCATGCCGACAGCGGAGTCTGGCTTTATGCTTGATCTGCACGGCGGCCGGTCCCAGTGACCCGCAGCGGGAAGCAGCCAAGGCTTCGTGCACTAGGTACTGGGAAAATGACGGTCACCACCCTTACAGTGACAGGAAGCCCTCAGAGAGCCTGTGGAGAGTCCCATCTTCTGCAGAGTGTTTCTCTGAACCTGCACCTCAGTTGCCCAGTATCAGTTTTTCTGCAGCACACAAGTTAGCACAGAACATTCGGGCCCTGAGCGTTAGGGAGGCAGGACACTGCAGCTCTGTCTGCTAATGCAAACACTGTGCTTGCTACAGCTCACGACTCCCTGTGACACCACTCTGCATCGCTGATGCTTACAGCTGCTCAGCTGCAGGCCAAACCGAGGGGTTTTTGTGAAGTCTGAAAAAGTAGTTTTACTATGTATTGTGATGATGTTAGTCTGTTTTGGGAAGGGTGGAGTTCTTGTTACACTGAGCTCACAGTTCTGTGGCAGCCCCCACAACACACACGGAGTTACTGAGCCATCCCAGCCAGTTACCCTTCTGGCCGGTCCCCGAAGCGTCGCATTAGTACATACCATCGAAGCTGCCTGTCTCAGCGGCAAACTGCAACAGCTGGGTGTACGTCTCCAGGGAAGGTCGGTAAACAAAGACTCCAGAGTTAAAACAGTCAGGCCAGCCTGGGTCTGGGGCTGCAGACAGCTCTTCCCTCTCAAAAAGCTCATCGATATTTGACAAAACCTAGTTGGGGAAGGGGTAAGAAGTTCTTTTCCGGTTTTTAGGTTAGGAGTTGGGGTATCATGCAGTAATGGATTTTCACATCCACTTTAGGACAGGACAGAAAGTTCCCATGTGCATGCCCTGGTCTTAGGGAAGGCAGTACTTCATGGAGACAGCCCCCACAGGCTACATTAGAATGAGTTCAGGCAAAAAGGCACATACATTTTGAGAGTTACTAATCCAAACAGCCAAAGGCCACTAGTACCCCCCCTTAAAAAAGAAAACCCAACACCCCAAAACACTATCCTCCCCTACCCCCTTCTAAGCCACTCTCCCCCACCAAACCAACCAAAAACCAACCTGTGGGAAAGAGCCCAACAGCCCCTCCAGGCCACCCAGGTACCACAGCCACTCACCATCGTGTCGGCGTCCATGAACACACACTTGGAGAACTGCGTCAGCGCCCAGCAGTGGAGCTTCGTTAGCGTGACACCCAGCTCGGGCCTCTGCATGAGGGCCAAGTGTGCCGAGTCCCCACTGTCCAGCACGTTCACCAACAGGACTTCGTCAAAGACTTTTTCCAGCACTCTCCTGGGGAAAGAGCGATCGCCACGACTCGGTTCCACTGTTCTCCCAGCATCACGCCACACGGCAGACTCCGTGAAGCGGCTAACGGGAGCCCGGTGGTTTTCGGGTGCTGCGAGAGCGGACTGCATGTGTTGGGGTGCACAAGGCAGCTGTGAGCTTGAGGCTTGTAGTTTGTACTGGGCACATTTTGGGGAATAAAGAGGGTGGTTTGGGTGATTTTCCTGTTGGAAACAGGGCTTTAGCTGGCATTGCAGCCAAGGTCATGGCTACCTAGTCCAGACTTTGCACTTGGCCTTTTTCAGCCAGACTCTGGTTTTTGGCAAGTCAGTCTGCTCTGAGCAGGCAGTTAAGGAATAGGAAGCAGTTAGAGTACCCTGAGGGCAGCAGCCAAATCCCAAACCACCGAAACAGAAGTTTACACAATAGTTACGACAGCACCCTCTGGGGTTTGTGACTTGGGGATGTCTGACTACACCTGGTTGCTAAAACTTCCTTCATCCCATGAAGCTGTAAAGCTTCACTCAATTCCAGCAGAGTCTGGACACAGTATGGCGTTTGCCTAAGGGCGACACCTGGACTTCAGCCAGCGTAGTGAATGGCTGTGGCAGACACCCAACCTCTGCAACATTACCATCAGTTCAAGAGAGGTTAAGGAGAGTGGGCTGCTTAAAACACAGAGCACACATAAAGTCTCGCCGTTCCACAGTGTAGCCCGAGTGCTCCAGAATTACCAGTACAGTTTGAGCCATGGAGCTTGTCAACGGGTTTTAGAACTTGCCCTGCGAGGCCGCCTTCACACGGACCACTCGGTACAGACAGTTGCTTTGGGGCCGCAGGCGTACCTCACTGACGGATACAGCATGAGGAAGGCAAGTTCCAGCTGGGGTGTGCTAGCACATTTATGACTCCTCTCCAAAGAGCACACTCAGCTCAGGTTGGAATGGACGTTCTGTGTAATATCTTTGTAATCTGTCTTTCATCTTTGTACTGATGAAGCCCTTCAGCTGCCAAGAGACCCCACAGGGGAAGTCACTCCATTTAACACTGAGCCCCTTCTCTGGCTCTGGAGCCTGAGAGGCCACCTCAGAACTCTCCCACGGAAAGAGTTTCAACCTGTTGTCTGTACTTCACATGGCTCTTTGGTTAAACAGGTTTTTTACCCTCCTTGCATCTGGAGAGAGGACACAGCCTGCTCCATACCGAGGCTGTAGGAAGCAGCTGCCTATTCATTTGCTTTGTTGTACTGTGGGGACCTGGTCAGATGCCTCTCAAACTACTGATCTGACCTACTTGGTGCTACTTTAGTTCTGCTCATTTTATTCCCTCATGCTAAAATTTGACGTGTCTGTTGGATTTCAGAAGAGCTTGTGTTGGATTATCAACCTGGAATGCTTCTGCAAGGCAGAGCCCAGCCCCCGCTCCCCCTCCCCACGCACTCGCAGGCAGCACCACATTGCTGGACACTGCAAAGCGGGGCTGGGAAAGGGCAAAGGCCCAATTCAACTGTCGGTTTCAAGTCACAGTTTAGTGCTCTAACTACAGAGTATTTGTTAAAACCAAACCCCCACCCAGTTTCTGGTTTGAAAAACTTGGAGAATTCCAGGGAGCGCAAGTGGAATCGTGCTCAGCTTGGCTGTTACACTTCCAGTGTGCTGGGAAGTTACTACTACGGAGTTAACTTCTGGGTGTCAACAGACCTCCACATCAGCAAGAGCTGAGGCCATCTGAAGCACATAAGCGACCTTACCTCATAAGATCGGAGACCTGAGGCGTTACGAGTGCTGTCAGCTTCCTGGTAGTTCTGTACCGCTGCAGGGACGAGCCGAGTACCAGCGCTCCCTTCACATAGGAGTCGTTTGTGGCTAGAGTCACAAAAGACTGGTCTGGAAGAAACAGACGTGGTCAGGTTTGCACGATCCACCGCTTCGCTCAGATACCCCCGAGGCCAAGCGTTACTGAGGAACTGTGCGATGAAGCCTCGTGGATGTGCCCATACTTGCCATCAGCAGCTTGACACATGGCAAGACGCAGTAAAAAAAAAAAAACACCCCAAAATCAAAGTCTTGGCAAGAGAAAACCAGTTCCAGTTTGCCCACAGGTTAAATAAATCACGGCAAACATCACAGTCCAAAAGGCGTAAAGAGCCTTCTGCAGCCAGCAATACACTATCTGTAGGCTGAAAGCACTGGGTCTGAAGTCAGTACCAGCACTCCACAGCCATCCCCAGCTCAGCTCTCAGCCAGGGCAGCGTGAACCTCACATTTCGTTTCCCAACGAAAGCAAGCAGGGAATTGACTGGGGACAGCAGCGTGGAGTTCTGCCAGCTCAGGATTTTGCAGATGAGCTGCTCTGCAACACGCGGCTGAGCTCTGTCAGGAAGCGCAAGATTTCGGGGGGAATAACCGGTAACACCACCAGCAGTTTCACACTTGCACGGCGGATTTGCCCTTTGAGCCACAGGGTGCTGTTGGCCTGTCGGGACAGCCTCCTGCTCCAGCCGGACCACCGCACGGCTCGCTCGGCCGCGTGCTGCTTCCTGAGGCCATGGAGCACAAGCTTTGCGGTCATCGTGTTGTTCTAAACTGCCAGGGTGGGACCAACAAAATCCAACCAGTAACTTCTCCCGTGCACCGCTAACTACCAGCGCACCATGCTTCTTCCCAGCCTGCAGCACTCCCACAAAGCTCTCTTCCACCAAACCATTTCTGCACCATCAACACAACAGTTTCTTCCTAAGAATTTCAAGGGTAGATTTCCACATTCAGATTTATTTTAGCAACTGCCATTTCTTTTCACTACCGAAGTTTTTAACTACATCAGCTCCGTCCGGAGAGTGGCGGCTCTGGGCCCTCAAAGGCCGACTGCCAGCTCTCGCAGGAGGACGACAACGCTGACTGAGGCTGCCGGGCACCACTCCCCAGCCCCGGGGAACCCTCGCCACCGTAACCCGGAACCACCGTAACAGCAGACGGCACCCTCCCGGATGGCGCAGACTTGGTTCGTAGCTCCAGAGAGCGGCTGCAAACCTTCCAAACCTCCAGGCTGCCGGGCACGGCC